GAATCAACACATCTGGTGCTAACGGTTATTTTCCATAATTGAAGGCCATTGTATTTTGAATAACACGTTTATAAAAATTGGGATTGGGAATAATTATTGGGTGTAAACACCAAGGATAGCTCACGAAAGTCTAGAAGAAGACTTATTTCCAGTGGGTCCTTCTAGTGATGTTTTTGTAAATAAATTAAATGATTGTGGGAAGACGGTAGTGTACAGTACATTGCTACAGTGTTTCCATGACGGACAAATAATATTATTCAATAATTCACATTCATTCATTCGTTCATTCATTCGTTCATTCATTCATTCATTCATTCATTCATTCATTCATTCATTCACTAATTCACTCATTCATTCTTTATTTAGCCAATAACATATACAAGTGAATACAACACAATTAAGGGAAATTAACAAATACTTATAACAACGTATAACCTAAGTTGGCTAGGATTAACTATAATGTGAAAAACCCTTGTACTCAGGCCTGTTAGTCTGTTATATTGCATAATACTACGGTAATACCGATTTCAATAAAATTCCTGGTCTCGTGGAGAATCTCTAAAACTGTATCTTAAAAACCACAGTATGCATAGGGATTGGCAATCAAAGTCGACCGGAGAGGTGCAGTTCCTTTTACTTGGCTCCGCCACTGAGTCAGCTGCCCATCATCAAAAATGTAAAACAGCGTTAAAATAAAGTTTATATTAATCTGTGTTAATGAGTTTCTGAAATACTGTACGGTATAATATACCAAATAAAGTATCTGGTTGGAGAAAATGAATTTATTTCAAGAAAAAAAATACTGTGGGTACATTCGAGTTGACAATAACAGTAATAAAACAATAACTTATTTATTTTTATTTTTATTTTCAACAAGAACAGAAAAGGTTGAACAGGGGCGCCGAGAAAAAGCGGAAGTTAAAAAAACTGTTATCAAGGGATGTGCTTAACAAAACCCCTGCCAACATAACAAAATGCAATACAAAATGTAAGAAAAGGGAACAACAAAAAACACACGGAAAATTCAGTAGAAACCCTCCTTTAGGACACCCCGACACCCGTATTCAGGGGACACCAATATTAATGGAAAACTTTCGGTGAAACGAGGGGATATATACCTTTTAACACTACAGCCAACCCCTAGCAAGGGCACATCCCTAGTAAAGGGACGGGGACACTTTTTGAGTGTGCAGTATGGTCAAATAAATATAATCTTACCCATGGGGACACTTTTTTTGTGTATTAAAACAATTACAGTACAGTAGTCACAAAATAAGAAAAAAACATTATAATTTATATTTATAATTTGCCACCGATCCTTAGGGGCCGATGCCCCTACCCATATTGTCCATTAGGGTCCTCGTTCTATAGCACTCTGATCAAAAAGGGCTTTGCTGATACACAACAGCATAATGTGTCACTAACATCGACTATAGGACATATCTCATATTAATCCAGTGTCCAGGGTTCCTATAATGATGACATAGATTCTTTATAATCCTATTTTAATTAACCTAAGAATGAGTGAGTTACAGTTTAATTATAACTAACTTATAACAATAATTTACAAAAAAAAAATAAAAAAATAAAAAAAGATATAAAGTTAACAGATATGTAATTAAAACTATACAATGTGTACATGTTTCCGATATTGTTTCTTTATTCGATGTTAATGATGACCAAATATTTTTTTTGTTTTTTTTTTTTGTTTTTTTTTTTTTTGGCTTTCTATTGGATGCACAAGATAGAATACTAGTAATAGAAGTTTCCAAATAGATAGATGTCCGGATAGATTAGAATTCTATATCAAAATACACACAACTCAGGACATTGTGTTTTGATATAGGATTCTAATCTATCCGGACAGCCTGCATCCTGATTTCTAATTTGGAAATATCTATTAATACAAAAAAAAGTACAATAAAAGAAAATATTAATAGTTCAATCCTGTACATTTGTCGATAATATAAAAAATTAAGTAAAAATTTGTACAATCATCATAAGAATAATAATAGGTGAAATTAATTTCATGTAGGCCTACAATCGTCAATTATTAGAAAATATCATATGGATTAAAAAAAAATAATGTGCAATCGTCATTACATAGCAAAACGTGTTAAGATAGGTTTTTTTTTTCAATTTTCAGAGTTTTCAATTGAAAATGCAAAAGCTGAGAACATAAGGCTTATCCGAGCTTCCTTGAGTTTTCAAACACGAAGTGAATTCAGTGCGTGACAGAATGTAGGTCTACCAATTATTTTTCATTTTTACTTCTCTCACATCCAACAGCAAGTTTAGCAACTTGCCACTTACAGGATGTAAGTCGTGAGAAAAAGTCCTGCTGTGACAGGAATTGAACCCAGGACCCTGGGATCAGAAGGCAAGCGTCCTAACCACTGAGCTATTCAAATCGACTTCCCCACACATTTTTTTTCAAATATAGAAATGTATAATATAGGTTTCAGAACTGATTGGTATTGTTTAAATCCTCTAGTTGAAACTTCAGTCGGCTAGGCCCGTCACATGCCTATTATTTTGGAGTATTTATTTTATTATAAAATGTTTAAACAGATTGAATTAGGCCTAATTGGATCGCATATCCAGTGAGTCGGCCATTGTTATTATTATTTATATAGCTAGCAAATTTATGCCAGTGAGTACCAAACGAAAGAAAGAAATGTAAGCATGTCTACTAGGCCAAACAGTTTTGGTCTTAGAATTATTGTTTGTGACACATCATAATAAACTACTCTCAATTGTAGATTTCACTATTACTTATTATCAATAATGAAATAATAGTCAGTCAGAGGGCTTATTTATGGTAATAATATGTATACTTAGCATGTACACATACATACGGAAAATCGAGTGTGGGACGCCAATTGCTATGGCGCGCACTAGGCGCAATAAAAGGTAATCAACCTAAATTTAGGGCCTGGAACAGTGGCCTGGAACCAAGGCAATTCAATTTTGTTGAATTGCCTTGCTGGAACCCAGGCTATCGAAGTTGTTGCGCGTGGTGTGTGTGACCCTCATGATGAAATGTTATGTTGCTTGTATGTTTGTCTTGCAAAAAGGGTTGTCATAGGCAGATTATGTTTTCTTTTGTGGATTTCTAACTGTACTGGTCCTAAAATAGCAAAAAATGAGTGGATCGATCGATCAATCAACAATCAAACTGCCGGGATCCGTGCAAATTATTTCAAAATAATATGTGTTATTTTCCGAAAAGCATAATGAAATACCAGAGAAACTTTTCTTTTTAATATAGAAACCGTTTATTGGCCTTTAATATTATTATGTTTTAGACATACCGGTACGGTATGTACTTCTTCACATCTAGATGTGTATAAGAGACAGATATAATCTTACCAATGGGGACACTT